CTCGACCCATGATTAAAGTGGTCTCCGTCGCTATACTGGCTTACATACATGACATCTACACATGTACATGTGCATCGCGTACATGTCATGCATATCCACAGCAAGGATAACGTTCAGCAATTTATCTACAGCTACAAGTAAGAACAAACCCTAAAATACAAGATGACTAAACATGATTAATGTCTTTAATAACTTTATAAAATTAACTGTAGGACAATTCTCTCATTAATGCACTTTGACTTTTGTATGAGTATTTTATATTTATATTTATATCTACATTAATATTGATATCTATATTCATATTTATATTTATATCCATATTTATATCTATATTTATATTCAACAATAAGGGATAGAGCAACGTCGATCTGGCACTGCTCAGTGGCTGCCGGGCTCACAATCAATTGGGCAAAAAGAATTTCCGTTTCGGCTATTATTATTATTATTATTATTATTATATTTGTATTCTAATTTATATTTAAATTTATATGTAATTATACTACAGTTTGTATTTACTAAATCATCACAAAATGCTTTAAAAAAATGTAATACATACATATTATGGTACATACATGTATAATGATTATAATAAATACAAGTAGGCCTAGGGCTCCACCTTTCAGAAAAGATGAACATTTTCAAGATACCATACATGCGTTATATCTAAATTTTTAACTTGCTAAGTTGGTATTAATCACTTCCATCATGAGCGGAGTGACATTACATGCCTGCGATGAAAGGAAGATGGGAAGACAAATTATCCCCACAATACTCTTGGGTGTAGTAGATTGTAGCAGGCCCATGATCGTACCAATGAGGATGACTTTACAACAAGTTTTGCAAGCGGCCTGTCCTCATCAGCTCGAGTTTGCCAAATAACCTGCTATTTTAACTACTGTAAACCCAATCGCAAATTATCCAGCTAGTTTGCCTTTTCATCAGTTCGCAGTTGCAATTAGCTGGATATTTGGTAGAGAAAATATCCCAAGAAATCTTGGTCTTGTTTCCGAAATATCCCGTTATTTGAGAAATAGCGGGCTAATTCATGCCCGTCTGAGCTAGTTTGTGATGAGGGTATCGGTCTGGTGAAGACGCAATTTCGAACCTACAACTGTAGGGATAATATCAAGAGTCTGAAAATAATGGGTTACATGTATTTGGCAAACTCAAGCTGATGAAAACAGGCCTGAGAGGGAAGCTCGCAAGAAAAAGTTCAGGCATGACTAATCCCTAACGGAAATGGATCCTGACTTTGACTTAAGGTATAGGTGCATCTCTTCATTAGCCTAAGCAAGCAAGCTTAAGTTTGAGGATTTGCAAATCAGTGTTTGCGAGTGGGTGTCCAAGGGATCGTAGGGGTGCCGCAAGAGTAATTAAGTTATATCAAAAATACATTTTGGAATAACATCAATTTTCATGAAAACAAATTACAAATGGCAATTGGGAATTTGGGAATGCAGCAACACATGAAGTTCTGCAAATGTATTTCTTATAAAGGTGCTGTGACTGACAAAAAAGGTTGCAAAATGCTAATTTCAAACAGAGCAGCGCTTCTTGAGAAATAATAATCTAGCATTGAAGTAAGCTGTTTCCATTAGACTTTCAGTCGAGCAATTTAAGCTATCTCAAGGAATTAGCTCACACAACAGAGGATATCAATGACTGAAGGCATCTTCTACAGTGAACTTTTCATGTAGCATGCCATAATTACCAGTAGGCTAAATACAGGTAGCTGGCTATTTAAAAATTAAGCCCTACAACGCTTGGGATGATAGCTGGAGCTATTATCCCTTCCACAACTGTGAAATAGTCCTGCTATTTCCATCTTCAATGCAAATAAGCTTCAGGCTACGTGTAGCTGTAATTGGGCGAATTTCCCTTGATCAGAATGAGCAGGGTTTTTTTTAAAGCAGCTCAGACTAATGGAAATAGTCCCTGAAAGCTTGAGAAATATATATATATATATATATATATATATATATATATATATATATATATATGGCGAAACAGTCTGTATAACTCGTACCAATAAAGTGTAACCTTCCAACTCCTATATCTACATTTGCTCCTACAGTTGAGCACTGTCAGAAATTGCAGTTTCACTAAATTTGCATATATATATATATATATATATATATATATATATATATATATATATATAACTTGTTGCTACGTTGGGCAAGCTTCAGACAAGCTTTCAGGTTGTCAAGAACAACTTTTTTTGACTTAAAAATTATGCATTAAATCTGAATATGTTAGTATACTGGTCTAATTGGCTAATTTCTCCAGATCAGAATTAGCAAGCTTATGGCAACAGTGCCAGAAAGCTTGAGAAATACATACATGTACATGTATTACTGTTAAGTACATCAAAAAGCAGGATATTTCATGAACAAGTCCTATTTTGCTTGGGATAATAGCTGGAGCTAATTTCCCTGAAACCACAGTGAAATAGCACATTTTTCATCTTCACAAGCAAATAAGCAGGAGCTACGCGTAAAATTTAAAGACTCTTTTGAAAGCTTGAGTTGAGCTTGGGCTAATAGGAACAGTCCTTGAAAGCTTGTGAAGTGCATGTTTATCCCCTCGTAAAAGTTTACTGAGGAAGGGCCTATAAAAAATGATTGGTTTAGATGATGTGTCATGTTATCATAATTCATAACCATACTTTTCACACTGCTTGTAATCATATGAAAGAGAAAGCTAGTACAATGTAAGGCCAAATAACAAAATTGAAGTGTTTCTCGTTTCCGCCTGCCTCCTTTTTTTTTTTTTTTTAAACTACCGTATTTACAATTTAGAAGAAAAAAAGCCTGTGATATACAATTTGTTTAAATAGCTTCTAAAGTCATACAAATCATTTGTTTTGTAATACATTGCATCAGCATACTCACATACATGTAGCACAATATGTGTGAATTATAGACTTGACCAGCTTTTATTAGCATGGCAGCAAAGGTGACACGACATTTGCTCCTGCGACAATTGCTCCGGGCTTTATTTCGTCTAAGATGTAGGGTTAGGGTTAGGGTTTCAATAGGGTTTTATGTTAGGTTTAGGGTTAGGTTTAGGGTAGGGTATAGTGTTGAATCCAGGGTTGAAGTTAGCCATTCGATTAGTGTATGAAATTTACAGCGGAGCAATTGTCGCCGGAGCAAATGTCATGGAATCGCAGCAAATCAATGGCAGCAAAAAGAAACAAAATTGGAAAATAGTAAATAGTACATGTAAATGCCCTGCCTTCTTCTCTTTCATTGTTCAAAGGCCGGCGAGAAAAAATGTAATTTTTGTTATTTGGCCTAATTAGAAGTTGAAGAAAAAACAAAAATTCTTAGAGGTATAGAGTATATATAACCACTAGGAGCCAGAGCATATAACAATGAGTTCCCATAGGACATACATGTATATTCATTCAGATAGTCATATCTCAGCCAATACTTCACATAATTCAATTGGCTTTCAACATTTGGACATTATTTTTGATGCTCTTTCGGAAAATGAAGAAAAAATTGAGAAATTATAAAAATAGATTTTTATGACGTCACAGCTTCGGTACTCTATAGAGATCCAATCAATGGAATTTTACTGAATTATTAAATGGGATCATCCTGCATGTACATTAAAAAAGGAAAACTATTTTCCTGAATTCTAATGATTTTTCTCGCACAATTATTTCTGAAACTCAGATGTTGGCCAGTGGCCACATAAAGTAGGTTCTGTGAATGCCCCAATCATATATCTGACAGAGTATAGCCCAAAGTTGTCATTCTTTTTTTTTTTTATATAGAATTCTTAGCATAAGCATTCTTTAAATTTAAAAAAGGCTTAAATTACTGCAATATATCTTCCAGGCAATAAAAGCAGCTCCTTCAAAATCGAATGTAGAATTTTTATAATCTTCAATGGAAGGATTTCAAATTTTTAAGGAGAATGTCTTTTCAGGCCCGTCTGTACTAGTTTGGCCAGGGGGGGGGGGGGGGTGTTAGACCACCCTGCAAGGTGATTGACAGGTGGTTATCTCATCAAATCAGCTCTCAATTAACATAGGGAAAAGGGGATCATGGGAGACCAACAGGCACAGATTAGGCATTGTTTGCTATATAGAGGGCGCAAGTACGGTAGCTGTAAGTAGTGCAGTGGGGCTTTAAAATCCCATCTTAATAAAAAATAAATAAAAAAATCACTTTTGAATGAGAATGAAGAGTGTAAGCATGATTCATGCATTTTCGCCAAGAACGCCGGACCTCTCTAGAGCCAAAAGGGTATTAATTCTGGTAAAGTATGGAAGTTAACATCAATCTGGCTTTCAGCAGACAACTTACGGCACTGGAACTTAGAAATAGAAATTCAAGATGATGATGCAAAATCTAAGATTCCTCTCCACAATGTCTTGCTCCTGAAGCTTAGCAACGCCCCTCTCTCTCTCTGTCTGCCTGTGTCTCTCTCTTTCTCTCTCTCTCTCCCTCTGTCTGTCTGTCTGTCTGTCTGTCTGTATCTGTCCATGTTCCTCTTTCTGTCTCCCCCCCCCCCCCTCTCCCTACATTCAGATTACCAAAATGTCTTGTATCTATAGCTATATGAGTCTTGTACAGCTATACAACAATTAATTAAATTTGAAAGTCATTTTGAATGAAAACTCGACACAGAATCAGGCTTCTGCTCTAGTCTGATCATACATGTACATCGTACAAAAGATGTACAACTGGGCGGGGCTTATGGTAATGAATGGCCTTGTCAAAGTTAGTTTCTTTATGCAGTTAAACCTGCCTTAGTGACAACCTGTATAGAAAGACCACATGTCTATAAAGACCACATACAGTGTATATGTTGTTTTCTAGTCTGTAAGCTCCTTTTGTTATACAATTTACAATCTTTATACAACGTTTCTTTAATCTTTAACTTTGAACAAGTTTCATATCAATTTCCTAGAGTCAAAACTGGCTATAAAGCCTAACATTTCACTCTCTCTCTCTCTCTCTTCTAAATAACAACATTCCGGATCATTCTCTGAAGTAGAGAAGCCTTGACATTATCCTGTATTAGTAAAATTATAAATAGAAATGAGAGCAGGGAATGGCAAAAAACAAGATGGCTGCCAAAACAGAAATCTCGGAATTAAGCTTTCCCCGGAGAGCGGCTTAGGGGTTTTTCTCACGTTAGGGATAAATATTTGTCCCTGACTTCAACACGACGCAGTAGATATGTATCTGCCAGAACATAGATAAAAACAGATCAATATTTTCATAAGTTTATAATTCTTAGGGATGATTCAAGAGAGGGATACATTTGTAAAAGTACCTGGCTGTATGAACAGTAAACTGTTTTGTTTTTTTATGTCAAAAAATTAATCAATAAAGAACTACATATCAACACAAAATAAATTTCTCTAATCAATAAATGTTTATATTTTTTCCTATGATTGATCATCGTCACTGTCATCATTGTCATCCTCATCCTCATCATTAGTATTATTATTCAAATTTAAAAGAATGTAATTAAAGCAACTTTTTAAAAGGGTTTAATTTCCATATCATTAATAAATTATAGCAGCTTACACATGATAAAGTTAACTTCTTTTTTTCTTTCCCTTTCGTTGTAATTGGTTTTGGAGAATTGTTTTTGTTTGCTTGGGGTGGGGGTTTATTAGGTGTGATTTTTACCTCATCTTTGAAATAGTTTTGAGTTGCTTGCTAAAGATTCTAATATTACACTGTTATTGTAAGTACTAGTTCTACTATGCTGTATATCTCAACATGTTCCTAATGCAAATTTCAAGCTGAAGCTCCACGTGCAAGTGTAACCAAAAGATAAAAGCTTCTTCTTCCATTTCTAGTGGGAAATTACTTGAATTCAATCCCACCCCCACCCTAAAACAAAAACAACAAAATCACGCTATCATACATCATTTCACATCATCTGTTCAGGGCTAGACGGGCATTAAAGGGAAAGTCCACCCCCAAAATAAGTTTGTTTCGATAGAGGCAGAATAATAAGAAAATCAGGTGAGTGAAAGTTTGAGCAAATTCTGAATGAAAATAAGAAAGTTATGAATTATTGAAGTTGTGATCAATCAAATACAAATTGGCAACTCTGTGACTTATTATACGAGCTCTCCTTCATTTGCTTTGTGCATAATATTCCATAAAATCATGTTTTCTTCGTTATTGATGACGGAATATATATTTGTTCCTTGCAGGGGGAGTATAGAAACATATTTGCAATTATTATATTTAGGGTGCATGTATGGTTGAAATTTTTCTTGAGGGAAAATGAAAATTTTAGATTTTTTTAGTACTGAGCAAATGGAAGTTGAGCTCGCATGATACGTCATAGAGTTGCCAATTTGTGTTTGATTGTTCACAACTTCAAAAATCCTTACTTCCTTATTTTTAATCGGAATTTGCTCAAACTTTCACTGACTTGTTTCTCTCATTTTTCTACTCCTATTAAAACTAACTTAATTTAAGGGTGGACTTTCTCTTTAACTCTGCTAACCTCTATGTATTAACACCCTTCTGGCTCTCAACAGAGGACACAAGGAATACACCACGTCCGTGAGGTCACGATACTTGAAAATAATACACGTCCCAAATCCCTTCAGGAAAACATTAATCATTTACATCAGGTAAGCACTAATAATCTACACGTACGTTTGGAGTCTGCAATCATCATGTATCAAAGATAATGGAGATACAATACGAGCCTCACAGCCATGCACATCAAATATTTTCCTTGCACTTGAAAATTATAAATAAAATTGAAGTTAGTTGGAAAATGCTATGAGTGTCAAAAAACATAAAATCAAAAATAGATTAAAAGGATACCATCAAATAATAAAATATCTTAAATGTTATTCTTTGCACAAAAAACAGAACTTTTGATTTGGGCGGGGAAAAATGCAGTTGCCTAGAAAGAAGTAAGACCGTGTGTGCACAAATTTTTGGAAACTGTGCAGGATTGTTGTGCCATTTCCTAATGCTGAAGACTAAAGAGAGTAGGCAGGAAGGGCCTCGAATGGAGTTTCATTGATCATTTCATACCAAAATAATCATTGGAAAAAATTACTCTATTTTTGATTTAGCTCTTTAAAACTGTTTTTATATAAAAAATGAGATTCCCTTTCAATAATTTCTATGTGTTAATTTTTTTTTCTGTACCAGAGCATTTTATGAGTGCTGTATCACTCACTGCTCCGATGGATTTTTGTTCAGAACTCAGCGCTTTCTTTATAAAAAGATGCAGTGAACAGCTCAATCAAACACACTGGTATCCTGTGCATGAATGATTCACCACCACCAATAAAAGCTATGTTTACACAGCAACGTCATAGTTTTAAACTTGAAGTTAGCTAAACCTGCACGCACACAACTTGGAGTGAGGAACCCCCCCCCCCCCTCCCTCAGTTATCACAACCATATGATCGCTCATGGTTTATAACTTTGTTTAAACTTAAAGGGAGTGTAGCCTGACGAGACTACGTGTCTTTCACGTGTTGGCCTGACTCGGGGCCAATCAAGTATAATACGATTACAGACAACGTGACCGCAGCAATCACGTGCGTCAAACATTCGAGAAACCGAAGCGTGAGGAGAACTTTGGTCTGTTTTGCTAACGCTGACCATGTAGAGATTAAGTTGCTCACTACCGTTAATCAAATCCATTCGTTTACGTGCAGTTGTCCAAAAGAAGACGTAGATGGCGTTAACCAGTATTTGCCAAGCTACACCCCTTCAAAGTTTCATAACCATGATGTGTCCGTGCAGTCCGGCCCTCACTGCAAGATATCCTTGAAGTTTAGATCCAAGACCTACATGTAACCTTAAAGTCATGGGCTGCCATGTGAACCTTCCTATTGAAACATTCATGCATTCTTGATGATGTGGGAATTCTTTGTTAGGCTGAGCTACATGTTCATAAAGCAAGATTAGATCCATATGAAGCTGACGGTGATAAACAAGTTATTCAAAAATTATGAATTCATGAGCATGACAAATAAGTAATGATTCCTGATACAAAATCTGTACGTAAATAATATCTACATGAAAACTGCTACAAGCAAATTATGGTCAAATTTCAAATCCCCAAAGAGCTCCTGTACGTGAAAGGAAAAAAAATTATGCCATCCGTAAGCGTGATGATTTTAAATAAGTACAAATAGCCAGGGGAATTATATCAACTCTGAAGAACCAAAGGTAGAGTAAATGGCAGTCCACAAAATCGCTTATCTTTCAAAATGGTCTTTTGGATGTGTAAATGGGTCTTATGATGATAATGATGATAATTATGATATATGTTGATGATGATGAATTGATGACGACTGTGATAATGATTATAATAATGATAATGATAATGTGTGTGTATTTCAGTTGTCACTCTTTATGTAAATCAATTATATTACATACTATTATTGTTATTTGAATGTTTTGTATTAGTTTTATCAATAAATGCAGAAACATCTGCTTAAAAAAATGATAGAGATGATGATGATGCTGATGTTATAATGATTATGTTGATTATAACAAGTAATCAGAGAACAAAAATCACAATCTAGGCCAGTCTCGAGCTGAACCCAGTCACCTACCGTCATTTTCCTCTTCTTCTGGTATGAGGGCCACGCCTGAGGCTCCAGGATGAGTCTCCCGCCGGGGTGAAGCGCCCTGAAGATGCGCTTGAAGAAGCGCTTCATGCCCGCGTCGCCCCAGTTGAGATGAATCCACTTGGTGACGCTGAGACACAAGATGGTGTCGTACTCCTCCCTCTGGGTCTCCAGCATGGAGTCCTTCTCCAGGACAAAGTTGGCCTGCGGGAAGAATCAAAGACATTAATTTTAATTATTAATTTAGTACTTCTTGTTTATTCAAGGAAGTGATTCCTTCTCTAGGATGAAGTTGGCCTGCAAGAAGAATCAACGGAGAAATTAATTAGGATTATTGATTGTTTACTTTTTGTTTCTCAATGATGTGTAGCAGTGATTCCTTCTCTGTAGGCCTGTCTTCACTAGCTCGAGGTTGCCAAATATCCTGCTATTTGAACTATCCCGATCGCAAACTATCCAGCTAATTTGAGTCCTCATCAGCCTGAAGTTGCAATTAGCAGGATATTTGGTCGGGATCGTCATCCCAAGATATCTTGGGCTAGTTTGCAAAATATCCCGCTATTTTTCCGGTGCGTCTTCACCCGCCCAAAGACTCGCACTATGTGCGAACGCTGAGCAAAATATCTCAAGCTAATTCCTCAAGGTCGAGTTTCAATTTCAAGGTCGAATCTCAAGCTGATGAAGACGCGATTTGTAACTTCAGGATTATTTCCAAAATCAGAAATAGCAGGCTATTAGGCAATCTCGAGATGATGAAGACGTGCCTTAAGGATGAAGTTGGCCTGCAGGAGAGAACCAACAGAGAGGTTGATCTTGACTTTTAATTTGTTTTGATGCTGTTGCTGATGGAACTGTAGATAGTGGTCTACTCTTGGTGGAGGAACTACTTGAACAAGTCTATACAACAGTAGTTATTCAAGTTATTCAAGGACGTGATTTCTTCTCTACTCTAGGATGAAGCTGGCCTGCAGGAGAGAACCTACAGAGAGATGGATCTTGACTTTGAATTTGTTTTGATGCGGAACTGTACACGGTGGTCTTGTTGGAGGAACTACTTGGACAAGTTTTTACAATGTTATTCAGTTATTGAAGGAAGTGATTCCTTCTCTAGGATGAAGTTGGCCTGCAGAAGAGAACCAACAAAGAGATTGATCTTGACTTTTAGTTTGTTTTGATGCTGTTGCAGGTACTGTAAATAGTGGTCTTGGTAGAGGAACTACTTGAACAAGTCTTTTACAACAGTAGTTATTCAGTTATTCAAGGAAGTGATTTCTTCTCTAGAATGATGCTGTTGCTAGAACTACATGTACCGGTATACATAGCGGTCTTGGTGGAGGAACTACTTGAATGATTCCTACAACAGTGGAGGTACATAGAGGTAGTGTACAGCAAAACTGTTCTCAAATCTCAATTCTGCTTTTCCATGTGCAATTTCAGAGTATATTTGTGTTTGACCCTTGAACTATGACATTTCAAGTTCAACACAAATATCTAATCAGATCATCATCCCCACTTGTAAGCTCGGATTACTTTGAAGTGCCTTCATACCCGTAACATACATATACATGTTGTACAGACAACCAAAACAACCATGGAAAATGTAGGCCTACATGTACATTCTCAACCATGAAAAGGCACACTAACTAAACTTCATTTAAAAGAAAAAATAAGTTTACAGTTTCTTTTGTTTACATGTACGTCTTGTCCATTGTGATTGTACTATGATTTTGAAAATTAAAAACTTTAAATGATTTTTTTTTTAAAGTCACTTTGTGTTGAGATTCTCCCTTTCTGTAAAAAAAAAAAAAAAAAAAAAAAAAATCTACACATTGATATCATCATCATCTGCTATAAACAAGATGGAACAAGCATTATTCCGATCATAACATTGACTAAACATCAATGAAAGGATTATCATTCAAGAAATGAACCTACAGAGAAGAAACTGGAGAATAATATGTTTTCTCTAAAAGTCTATTTGTAATACATTCAAACCAAAGAACTGTAAAATCATAAATCAAAAGTGTGCAGGAAAAGGGAATGATTTCATACTCATTCATACATGAAAAGTTGTAAATAAAGGCAAGGCAAGCCGAGGCTACTGTACTAGAAAAGAAATTACAGTCTTTTATTTTGACAGGGGGTTACACACAAACACACAGAGTCGATCACCCAACAGGACGGGAAAATGAGTGTTTCCTGTGGATACATGCCAGGTAGGAGACTAGTCTCAACTTGAACTCAATCAGATCCAAAGGTATGTTCACACAACTATATTAGCCACGTTTTAATAAGTAAATAAAGCGTAATTCAATCAATTTTTTGTTTGTGTGTGTGTGTGTGTGTGTGAATGATTGTTGCAAGGACCAATGATGTTGTTTATTCCTGTCAACCAATTCCCACTTTCCAAAGAGATCCACGAGCATGTTAACACTACTATATTAGTCACTATTAGACACACATAGTACACACAAGAAAATTGGACAATCCCTATGAACAAGTGAGTGGAAAAATATATTTCCCGGTAAAAAGTGGTAAATACCGGTAAAAAGCGGTAAATACCGGTAAAAAGCGGTAAATACCGGTAAATACCGCTTATTTCCCGGCGTCCGGGAAATAATCATCCGAAGCGGGAAATATGCCAACCCTGATTAGATATAAGTAAATAAAGCGTACCGGTAATTCATTCAATATTGTTAGTGTGAGTGTGTGAATGATTGTTGCACGGACCAATGATGACACTGTGGTATCACTGTTGTTTATTCCTGTCAACAAACTCCAGCACTTTCCAAAGAGATCACATTTAACTTACTTAGTTCAGTTTGTACAAACTACCCAATATTTTGTCACTCTTCATGTACACTATGAACGGTTTGAGTTACATGTATATGGGGCGGGGGGGGGGGGGGGGGGGGGCTTTTGTTTAGCAGGGATATAGCCAAACTCAAGCTTCAGAAATCTATGAGAACATAATGGTTAACAAATATCTTTTATTCTCTTGATGAATTGATGAATTTGTTTCGCAACTACATTGGCCTTGTTCACACTTCACAAGATTTAATGTACATGTAGGTCATTTATCATTTCCTCAATCATCTTGTTCACACCTATTTGGGTCAACAATCAATAAGACTAGTATCACTTACAGTCATGTATGTATTCCCTTGGATGAATGATTCTCTTTTTTGGCAGACGATTCTAAATCAGGGTCAACGATTTCATTACATCCATGGGATTAGTGATCAATGAGTCACTAGTGTATCCATTGACCATTGGCATGTTCCCACTAACTATCATGTACATGTACACTTGTATAGTGACTATATCAATTGATGGATTAATGCCATGATCTAAACACAGCCCAGGAGTGCATACTATGATATTCATGACCAATCGTTTAATTCCCTCTCATATTAGGACTTGATTTCAAAATGCATCCAGAGACACATGGGCACTTAAAATTTACTATGGACCCCCAAAATTTACTAAGGACCACTAAATTAAAAAATTATAACATACAACATGTATAGTACATGGAGGAGCAGGAGGGCCCACTCGTACAGACTTCAAAAAAGGTCCAATCCCGACTCCCTTCCAACAACGTTAGTGTGAATGAAGCCAGGCTATAATGTACGTATTGTTGGATAAACTTGTATTGGGAATAAACAAATATTGAGTGTATCTATTGACCACCAGCATGTTCTCACTCGTTTATAAACTATTCAGTTATTCAGGAGTCAATCAATGGACATCGTGATTATTCACTCCCTTGTAGATTAACACATGCCTGCATCGAGCACTGGCATACCCTAGTACCGGTATTCATGGCCAATTCATTATGTTGTTCTTGCCTTTGAACATACTTTTATTTGGGAATAAACAAGTCATGACTCATGAGTGTATCCATATTCCATTCCATAGACCCTTTGCATATTTTCAATAACTAGTATTATTAGGGAGTTGCTTGATATTTTGTGTGCATCATCCATGTATGAATCTTTCTTTTGGATTAAATTTGTAAAACGGTCCCAATTCTCCATTTTTAATACTGGTTAATTGGCCATCAAGAATCAATTAGAAATCAGTGTTCCTAAGCAGCAACCAGCAAACACGACAAAAAAAAAACGAAATAAAAATCCACCACTGAAGTTTTTTTTGAACACCAGTTGGAATTTTGCTATTTTCTGCAGTGTAAATGCCCACACTCCAAACATCAGTGAATGATTCCGGTTTTGGGTCACGTAACTCTCCTGTTTTCCGTATGTTGCAACATATGTCGCATGCAGAGCAGCGAAAGGTCATGCATGCCCACTACTCATAAAAAATTGGAATGAGCATACGACACCAATGGTTTTTATGGGGTTTTTTCAGTAGTGCAAATGGCAGTTAAAAAAATCAAAGATTTAAAAAAAAATGGTGACTGGTATCTGTAAGTGGGTCTACCGTAGCTATAATGTTACAATCCAATACTTTGAGGTCATTATTCAGGTATCGTGGAATGTTTGTAAGTTGTTTATTTTGAACCAGAGGTGGGCTTGACACAGAAAGGAAAATCAGGAAGAGAGAAAGAGAGAGGGGGGGGGGGGGGGAAAGGGGGAGGGGATATTTTTTAACGAGAGAAATTGAATATAAAGGACAGGCATGAGGGAGTGAGAAAAAAGAAAGAGGGAGAGGGGGAAAAGAGAGGGAGAAAGAGAGGGAGTGAATGAGATGGCAGGAGACTTCAAGATGAACTCTGAATGATTTTGTGAGAGTTTTATCTGTCTGACATCTCAGGAAATCTCGGGGAAGAAATGATTGCATACCGTGATAACCTTGTTCCTTTCTGACAGGATGATATTCATGAGACCTTGACGTCGATTCGAAACAGGTAGAGTTGGGAATAGCTTCAGGGAGGGGTGGAGTTAAAATTTAGTTCGCAGGCACAAACGTTTGTCAGTTGTGTGTCTGGCATTATGAGACTATGCGACATCTAGATGTGGAGTGGAAAGCTAAATGTACAGTGTAAAATAAACCAGTAAACCACTTGGGTCAGTGAAATTAAAACCTTACACTATGCTGACTGCATAGTGCACACTATACTTAAGATAAAGTTGAGTTCTGGTCATGCGATTGCATTGTGAAAGAAACGGTGTGGAACCGACCAGAAAAGGTTGATCGTCTAGCATATAAGAATTTGTGTGTATTGCAAGGTTCTGGAATCATCAAAATGATAAGAAATGTGGCCAAGTTTTGGTAAAGTTACAAACACTTGCACAGAAAGATGTATATGGGACTACACGAACACGTGGCATAAAAAGCCGCCCCCCCCCCCCGATTTTTACGATGTTACATGCATATTTAGAATATGAAGGCATTTGAAGAGCCATGCTTTTCAGGGAACATGTCTTAACTGATGTTCTTCCACACTTGCATAATAAGAATGAGTAATGCTCACAAATTATTTTTCACCTCTTCGCAAAACTCAACCTTCTCTTTAAAGATTAGCTTGAGATCGGGTAACGATAGAATATAAATTCTCAGAGAATCCAACAAAACTTGAACTGAATGTTCAAGATAACAAGTGCCAAACGACTTTAGTAGAAATTTGTATAAGGGCAGAGTTACAATGAGCATAGAAATCAAGGTAAAAATTTCTTTTGTTTTGGTACTTTCTTTGGGTATTTTTGTCAACCTTATCGCTGTAGTTAAATGTTCCAATCTACAATGTACATGAACTGTATGTATCATTCTCCACTTTCCTTCTCCGCTTTCCCAATTTTATCTCCTAAATGTATATACATGTACATGTATCATCCTCCAAATCAAAACAAAACCTTAGTGGTGGTGTGGGGATTTCTACCATATCAGAATTTAATTTTTTTTGTATGCATGACTGATTTTTCAGCAGATGATCTGAAGATTTTTTTTTTTAATCCAACTTACAAGTACAGTGAAGTATCGGCAATACTTTTCATGGTGGAGATACAGGATTGGAGGTAAAGTCTGAAAACTTTATCTACAATTCATCTTCAATTTTATAGAAGAACCCGACTTACCCATTCAAACTTCTTTCACAGTGTTTCCTTTTTGTTATGGGATATCTACGGTCTTTTTTTTCCAACTATTATTTTTATTATCATACTCACACATCTAAACAAGATGTTTGCTGGAAATAATGAAGTGCCCGGTGTTCTCCTTCCAACTGATGATGAAGTCGACGCAGCCGGTGCTAATGGCCCATACGTCTTCTGGAGGGAAACTGGAAAGTCGACGCATCCTTTGCCTCTCTTCTCTCTAAACTGCTCTTCAAGACAGTTCTTCACATTCTTCCTGGCAACTCCAATCAAATTCCCATCAATGTCCACCCCAACTATCTTTGACGGATCGAACAGTTTCGCGATGGCTAGTGTCACATGACCCGAATTGCAGCCAATGTCTAAACAATTCTTGCCCTCGAACCATTCACGTTTGAAGAAGTCTATGCGACTGTCATCACTGTTTGGCGTGCGGTAACCGTAGTAACGAGCATAGTTGCCGTACTGGAATTTCTTGTCCTGTTCTTTGAATTTCGGCAGGTGCCTAGATGATTTTGCGTCGTGGCTATGCTGCCTCCGCAGCTTGTTGACTATGTCTGGAGACTTCCCCGATCTCTTCGATTCTGGCTCAGTGCTCTTCGCTTTTTTTGGCAGCGGCGGCAGTGGCAGTAAGTCATCAATCAGCAAAGCTCTGGCCAGTCTCGAACTCGGCTCTGTTCGACTTGCTTTCCTCTTGCGCCCTCTGGAGTCTGGAAGAACTGGGGAAACGATTTTGTTTGAAAGTTTTGTCATTTTATTATTCTGTAATTCAAGCCATAGTGGCCTAGCACAAGAAGAACCATCTCCATGAGCCCCATCTCTATCAGAGTTTCCCAAGGATTCAATACTATCACGCTTCGCTTCTCCGCTATTGTGGTATTTCTTTTTCTTTCCTGACGATTTTCTTGGCACCAGAGTTTTGGTGAGCGGTGAGTTATTCTCCGGGTTGTCATCGGTTATGTTCAATTTCAGAGGATCTTTGAAATCTTGCGGGACTATAACGGGATCTGGATCCTTGTCAATGTGTGGAAGAGGTGAACAAGCAGGAGTAAGTGCATTTGCAATTCTGGAAATCTCTTCATCGTCAAGACTGTTCAAATTTAAAGGATCTGTGATAGAACCTCCCAAGAGGAATTTTGGTTTTGAACCATTCCTTTCATATGTTTTCCTTCTCCTTTTGATTTGCCCAGCTGCCTTTGATGTGCTCTGGTGCCGCTTGCGGCCGGATCCCGCGGCTCCCCCAACACCGGCGACCACTGAATGTGACGGTATAGTTTGGGCAGCAAGACTCCCCACAAGTTCGGTCGCGCTCGCGCTCTCCATCACCACGGACAGACCACAGCTTGTTCCTCCAATTCTAGCATTTTTCAGTGTTCCTTGCACATAAATGTTTGCATTGTTACTCGAAAACGGGTCATTTCGGTTGCCCGATTCCGGGCTAGCTTCCAACACTTTCGTCGACATGACTTCGTTGGAAACATGAAACAAGCATCTGCCCAACGTTGCACGTGCGATTTTGCGATGTAAACAAGTTCAACTCGCCATTTGCATAAAAAATGTCAATAACATGCAAAGTAGGGTCACGCTACTCCAGTCAAATCTACCCGATCGTATGAACTCAGGCACGAGGTTTCTGCCGAGATTTTACGATTAATCAAGGCTGTTTCTCCCAAATTGTCACATTCGACGAGGGTCAATATCATAAATGACAATCCTGCTCGGTCAAAGAGGGCAAAAACGAAATATTAACGGTGAAATCTCCGGCGAAATGTCAGATGTTTCAGGAACGTAGTCGTTCGCGATGCCTGCGTAGCGTAAACGAAAACGTTTCCGCGCTTGCGCGAAAAGGGAATCTTGGGAATGTTTCTTTACCTTATAAACAATCATTCCTAATGCAAATATTTTGTGATATTTCTTGCTTTTACCTCAAATTTACGGTTTTAATGTGAGCAGATATGCTTTTATAATTAATTGCTATCAAAAATCCTTTAAAAAATACCTCTTGATTGAATATTTGGATCATTCTTCACAAACAGAATCAATTCTGTCGTCTGCTACTTTCCGAATTACCGGATACTGGAAGTCTAGTAGTCAATTGCGGCCCTTCCTATTGCACGTCGTGCATAGTATAGTACCGTACGATTCCTATACGGGAGCAATCTAACACCAACAAAAAAAATTGGGGGTGGACTCTTGCGGCCCGTTGGTTTATACTGGGTTATGTTGTATTCACTGGCGTACTGATGTGGGGAGGCTTGGGGGCAGTCGGACCCCCAAATAAAATTCAAACGTGGTTTATTTCTAATTCGATGCCAGTGATTTACAGTTATTGCTGAAATGCCTGATTTTCCGGGTTTTTTCTTCTCATTTTTGCCCATTATGCCAGAGGCGGCACTCCCGGTTGGGGGGGGGGGGGGGGCACTGTGCCACCCACTTTTTCAGGTACCCACAAAAAGCTCCTGTTTACATAGGACAAGTGCTCCTTTTCTTTTGTAATAACTGTCCTTTTCCTCTCTTGAACATCTCTGGTGAGTACGTCTTTTCAGGTGCGAGAAATTCCCCTTTTCACCTCTGATATGTTTGCCCTTTTTATTCATACTTTGACTCGTGCCCCCTTTCCTTTTTGATAAGTGTACATTTCCCTTCTTAATAAGAATCCCCTCTTCAATACCATTTTTAACCTCTGACACGTTCCCCCTTTCCTTTTTTTTATATGTGCCCCTCCCTCTTTTCAAAATGCCCCTTTTAACATCTTCCAGTGATAAATGCCCCTCCAATATACCTCCATTTCCATTCTCACAAGTGCCTTTTTTCATTTCTGTTGAGTGTTCCTTTTCAGGTGCAAGAAGTGCCATTTTCACAACTGAAGGCTCTGATAATTGCCCTTTTTTACTTTGACACGAGCACCTTTTCTTTTCTAATAACTGTCCTTTTTCCCTTTTGATAAGTGCCTACTTTTCCTTTCTCCATAACATGCACCAGAGCCCTTTTTTATTTTATTTTACCTAAATCTCGCTCGCTACGCTCTCTTGCATTTATAGACGTTATAATTATGTTATTTATAAAACTTTTCAGTCTTTCTTCATTAGATTGTGCTTAATACTCATGATGGTGTTTTATTTTTGGTCTTCTTTAAAATATGTATTTTTTTGCACTGGGACCTCACAAATCTTTAAATTTTTTGCTCTCTCGAAAACTGCAAAGTAGGCCTATGTTGCTTAATTAAGTAGTATCTCGTACCACGTAAAGAAAGAAACCAATATTGATATCATCCCTGGTAGTGTAATCACAACCATGACGATGGATGGGTATATACCAATGACTACAAATTGTGTATGTTTTGTCGATGTTTCCCTTTGTAGGTGACCCTTTTTCCAGAAAGTGCCCTTCTTTTTTTTGGTGCCCCCTCGCTATTTTGGAAGACTCTCCGCCGCCCCTGTATTAAGCTACTTGGTGGTAAAAAGGATTTTTTTTTTTTCTTCTTCTGACCCCCTAAAGGTTGTTGCTCATTATGCCACCTAACTGGTTGTTCATGACCAAACCGATGCCCTTTTAATTGGCCTATAATCATCTGTTTTGATGCTATTATAGGATATACCGATTCATGCAGAAACGCCCTATAAGTCAGCCCCATATGTTTGTATTTTTTCCATCAACGCCCCCCCCCCCCCCTCCTACACACACACACACACACACACACACACTTTCTGACTGAAACGAAATCCTAATATTCCCGCCGATGTCTGCATGATGCTTGCACCTCCTTCCTGAGACAAAAAAAAAGTTTCTATCAATTAAGCAACTAGCAAATGCCCCTACTGGGAAAGAATAAATGCCCTACGAAGTGTAAAAAAAAATGTACTGTATATATGATGTGCCCTACACGCGGCCTATTCATGTCAAAACAGATTGAGAGAAAAGGGGATCCTACATTTGCATTCTGTGTGCCATGTGTTTATTCGTTTATAAAGAAGGCGGATGAAAATTATGCTTTTGCCAGAACTTTATATGCCCCTATAAATTTAATAAATAAAAAAAAACGTTATGGAGGCAATGGAAACTGAGGGGAGCAATTTTAATTTTCTGCCGGTAGAAGGATATTTTATCCATCACTGACCGGGAGCCCCCAAATAAGCAGTGTGTGCTTTGATAGCAAAACCTAAATATTGTAAATACCCACCGCCCCCCTACTGCACCCCCCCCCCCCCCCACTCAGGGTACGCGTATGCATGTTCCCTCCCTTTGAAAGCACCCCTATCTCCATTGTGTAAAGTCAATACGGGCCTGAGATTTGGGGAACACGAATGCGGTCTCTTCGACCCCGGAGTGGGGGTGTGTGTGTGTGGGGGGGGGGGGGGGATAACCATGAATCATGGTCCATGATAGAACCAAGTTTAGGAAAATGTTTGATTACTCATAATATTATACTTGATAAAGCCAAATGGGTTCTAACGTCTTACTTCTAAAATTGATCGAAAGGCAAGTAACTGTCTGAGTCCGGTTGACTCTTAAAAAAACTCTCTCCCCCAACTTTTCTCTTGCAATTAGCTAATCAGAACAATGTCACTCGTGTCCATAACAATAAGCAAGATTGGTTCGTGATGTTACATCAATTTTTTCATTATTTTCATTTTATTTTCATTTATATATTGTATTTATTTATTCATCTATATTTAATTTGTTTTTATAGGTGTCCTTTCTTGCGATATACCCTTACTTTGAAAAACGTAAAGACACCCCTTTTTTCGCCATGCAGAGATTTTTCATTCGTTTGTCCGAACTGCTTAAGGAAGTGACGTGGTCAAATCTGTGTTGTAGGTTCGAATCCCATTCAGATGAAAATACCTGGCAAGTGCCAGGTGTGATATTATTGTAGGACCCTCGATAAAAACAGCGTTTACGCTGATGAGGCTTCCCTGCATTATTACTGTTGCTGTTGTTCTTTGTTATTTTGACGAACTTTCCTGTTTTCACAATCCATTGAGCTCAATGATAATTGAGCTGGGTTTAGGGGTTTACAGGGGCCGGTGCCCCTTTATTTGCATTTGCGTGTAAACGGTTTCAGTAGGGGAATTCGAGCCCCCCCTCCCTCCTTCTGACAAAAAATTAATGTCAATGTAGTAAAAATAAAAAACAACAACAAAATTGCCCTGTATTCGGATAATGGCCCCCAAACAGCTTTTTATTTCACATGTAGTCCATAAAGTTAAAATATGATATTATTGTTTATACTGCATTTATATGACTTCTTTCAAAGAGACAAACTGCAATTATGAGGCCACAGTGTTTGTTCCCTCTCGATCACATGGACTTTTGGATTTTCGTGTCCCAACAAAAGGCAATTAATCCAACTCAATCGAAACAAGTCATTTCAGAATATTTTACAAATAGACCCTGAAATACAAAACTTGAGAATTTTAACAATATGTGAGACATCATAAACATTTTGTCGTTCTTTCATTTTCTTTAGGATATTAATATTGGTTCCAAGTTTCGCAAGGCTCATGCATGCTCCATGCTGCAAACCCGCTCTCAAGTCCCGGCCCGCGTTATTTTTTTCTGCGGCACAGATTGGGTTAGGTGCGTGTTGAGCGGGCTATGGGAAAGTTTAGAGTTAGGCTGTTAGGGTTAGGGTAAGGGTTAGGGTTAGGGTTAGGGTTAAATCAAGACCTCTTTTTAAAAAAAAGCCCCAATCTGTGCCTCAGAAAAAAATGACGCTTCCGGCCCCCCACTCCGTGATCGGAGGGATATCATGCGTGTTACCAAAATGTCCGGTAAAGCAGGGATATGTGAGTTATCCCTGGGTAAAGGGGTACTTTTCACCCACCAAAGTCCGGTTCGTAGTACCAAAAAGCCCGTTTTACACACTGGACTTAGGGGGTGTTTTCAAAAGGAGGGAACATGCATATGCGTACCCTAAATAACACTGAGTGGGGGGGGGGGGGTCTCAAGTTCATCACTTTTAATAGCAGGTCAGTTTTTATGTATAATTTCGGTATATATGTTTTACTTGGTTGGATAGTAAACAGTATACTGTTGATACTATATATATATTTTTTGTTCTTCACTTTCTTGGGAGTGACGTCCGTGATCACTTGTTTAGGAGTGAAAATCGATTGATTTTAGAGTGCTCTTTAAGAAGAAAAGAGTGAATGTTCACTCTATTTTCACTACATTTTCACTCTCCAGAGGAGTGACGTCCGTGATCACTCGATTTTCTTTTAGAGAGTACCTATTGAAGTGACATACACTGTCTTATTTTTTTTAAATTCGGGCCGGGGGGGGGGGCGGCCCTTACAAAAATGTACTATGGTAACCATGGTACTTTTGTCCAAATTACCATCCACCATGGTAACCATGATGGTTATCATGGTACCAAAACAATGAAATACATTGTTTAATGACCCAATGTATTTCATTGTTTTGGTACCATGATAACCATGGTTGCCATGGTGGATGGTAAGGGGGGAATAGGGGAGTAAACAAATGCATCAAGGCATGGGCGACTCCTGATTATTATAGTGGCAGTGGTCCATGCAGGGTCCGCGAGGGGGGGGGGGGGGGCTACTACATTATAGGGCAAATTATAAGCCTATAGTATATAGGGCCTTACACCCCCCCCCCCCCCCCCAGTGTAAACCTGTTAACAATAATATCTACTGAAAACAACTGATGAGTGCAGAATTTTACTGCATCATTCATGCAAGTTTGATTTTCAAAACAGTGTTTCCAAATAATAATATGACGTTTCATCGATATTTGCACGTCCACGGCAACTGTACTGCAGTGCAGTGTACGCGCGCGCTCGCTCGAGCTCGCGGGAAAATCAAGTGCTCAAATGGTCTCAAAATTATGACGTCATCACGAGCTAGTCGCAGCTGATCGAGGCCGAGGGAAGCTGCATTAATTCTATCTCACAAAGTTACAGTCTGCTGTGGTAACTTGTCTTCATTTGAAAAAAAACAGGTGGGTAGAAATTTAATGTACATTTAATAGGGACTGAATGTAGATATGAATGTAATGTTTGTTATTTTATTGATACTAAAATATGGAGTCGGCCACTTGCTGCACTTGCACTGAGCTGAGCCTGCTCTACCCGGCCCCCGCCCGCCCGGCGCGGCGGCTGGCTTGAGTTGAGTGCTAGCTAGGCTCATTGGGCTCTGAGCTCTGGGCCTTCGCCGTTATTCTGCATCTATCTAATCTATTCGATGCAGGGCACTGCTGGGCATAAACACATCGGTTGAGACTAGAGTAGAGATAGTAGATTTACTCATTTAGACTACTAGATCTAGACACAGACAGAGTCAGAGAAGTGAGACTGAGATGAGAGTGTGACTGAGTCAGTGAGTGAGAGAGTGTGCTGAGTGATATAATGATTCAAATGACAATGACAATTGGCGATGAACTCGCTGATCTCGGAAAAGCGGAGGGACATCAACAGAGAGAGATGGTTGATGTGGAGTTTATCATGAATATGATTGAATCATGATTGAATGATGTATTGTTGTCATGTCATCCAATTCCAAAATTGTACTAAAATTAATAAATGGTTCCACTCAATGCCATGGACTGGTAGTAGTACTTGGTATGGTAGTCTAGATGGAAATTATGAGTTCCTGTATTATTCTATTAAACTGCTGTTGTTCAGTTTGTGCTTGAGTCTAGCTGTCAGTGATGATGATGTATGATTGAAGGGGTGACCAAAGTTAACAAAGTTAGTCTAAGCAAAGTTTTTTACTACAAATTGGTTCAACTAGAAAATTTATCGTCAAACTCAAAGGATTCCGGAGATATTGAGATCTAAAAATTTGATTTTGAATCAGCGTGCGCACTGCAACGAAAAAAGTCATAAAATTATGAGACCTTACTTTGCGCACAGAGGTTTACAGCTGATTTATAAAAAAATGTGATCCATAAAAAATAAGGTAATATCATAATTTGCAAGGCAAGATATCATACAATCAGTTGGTACCACTGGGTCGCCGGATTACGAGACGCGAGACCACTGGCATGCAATGGTCTATTATTCTATCCCGCCTCGTCTATGATAGTTTAGTCTAAAAGTAAAAAGCTGCTACACACTAGATCTAGTAATCTAGAGTTTACAGCAAACTGGTTTCAAGACCGGGAAAATGAAAATTAATTTTGCAATTGTAACTTCTTAATTTCATTTTAAATTTTTGTTATGTTAACAAGCAGTAATAATATGGGGTGGTATTCTGAAAACTGACTTTGTTCACATGTGCAAGCAGCACCAATGGTAATTGTTAGTTTTGTTTACCAAGTAATTTAGTTTTTTATCACTATAAACATTGTTTTCTCTTTCATAATTAAGAACCATGCCCAAAGACTTCCATGATTTTAGTTAAAAGCAGGGTGCTACAAGAATTTTTTTCACCACTTGCCCTGTCTGGCAAGTGGGTTTTCAATTTACTTGCCCAAACAATATTTCCACTTGCCCAAAACTTTAAAGCGAAAAAGGACTCGAGGTTAAAGCATTTATTATCTCGTAATGATAAGTTAGTGTTTTAGATAGCAAATTAATGCACATACATGTACAGTGTAACTGTACTGAATAATAACCTAATATGTCAAAGAAAATGGTCAACAAAGGATGGTTGAAGGTTTAAAAAACGCATTTTATTGATTCTCCATAAATAATCAGATTCACATGAATCTTGGCAAGGTAGAATGGTTCAAGCAGGTTTAAGTTTTTAATATTCAGTCATGTAAAAAAGCATAATGACCCTGTTGTAAAAAATATGATACAAACATGTCATTAATGGTAGCCACATGTACCATGGTGCAACATCACATGTGTGTCTGTGCAAGCCCCTGTCATTTGGAAACGTAGGCTAATTTTCAGCTGTTAATAATTTGGGTCAACTCTTCCATCAAGAAACGTCATGTAAATAATGGGTAATCAACTATTTTAAATAAAGTACGGACATTTTTATTTCATCATTCACTGCTATAAATATCATGCCAAAATTTGTAAATTCTTACTAAATAATAATATTGAAGATATTTTACGATAAATCTCGGATAAGTATGCGAAAACTAGACTAAACAACGTCGCTAAAACCATGAAAACAAAACAACAACGGCTTATATTCTGGGGGTCTCGATACTATTATCAAAATGACTCGCTCGGTCGGATCTTGAGACCGCAGTAATAAATTGAAAACGAGACAAAAACATTCATCTGATTTATATGAGCAGCGAGTTTTAAATAATATGTTCACAATCATTAACAGTCATTATGAATAAATATCAAACATTTGACTTTTTGTACTTCTACTAGAAAATCCCTGTTGTTTATTCCATTCCGATTCGCACGTGTTCATTTCCCTAGAATAATGACGTCATATTTGGCGTGATTCAACCAATCGGCAATCAGAGAATAGCAAAGGCCTGTCGGTGCGGCCTGCAGAGCTAGAGAGAGAGAGCGCGAATAAGCTCGCAGCTGGTACGATCGCGCTAGCTGTCTCTAGCTAGCTCACGGCCGGCCGTGCGTGGAGGCGGAGCGGCATTCATGGCTTGAAGTGTCACTGTTGCATGCGCGCTGAGCTAGCTGAGCTGGCTAGCTGTCTGTGAAGTTTTTTCGAAATCGGAACGATCGCTTTTTTGCTTCTGGATTTTGACGACGGGTAAGAAGTTGACGGGTGAATGGTAGAGTTCTTGGACACTAGGAAATTACTGTAAAAGTATCACTTGCCCGAATCGGGCAAGTGATAATTTGATTTACTTGCCCGACGGCTCAATTTGGTTGCCCCGGGACGTCGGGCAAGCGGGTTTGTCGCGCCCTGTAAAAGTTAAGATAATTCTGGAATCAAAAGATCTGAAATCACAGATTTACTCAAGATTCTATCGTCCAATGTGTTTCATTGCAGATACTTTTCTAATAGATCTGATTTTTCAGCATGGCAGAGAATGAACTATTGAGTGGAATTGAGGAGTAAGTATAATTTACTATTCTTTCCTATTTTTGTTGATGAGAAGGTATTAATTTTTTGAGGTTGCTTTCATTGCATTTTTGAAAAATTTCTACAAATATACCCTCCTTTTTTTAAAACAGTCCCTGCAGACTCAACAGGTCTGAATTGAAAGAAAGCCCAGTATATCTAGGATCGATGATGCAAGATGCTCATCACAATCATTAAAATAAAATTGTTGATTCTAAATCTATGTCCATTGTTTTAGCATGAGAAGAGAACACTGTTTAATGTCTTCATTTTTGTTGGTTGATAAAATCAAGACCAGGTTTCCTCAAATAGCCTTTAATCTTATATTATTAAAGATTACATAGGTAAGGCATATCTTTCTTGACTAAATATATCTGTTTTCTCATTAAATACATTTTTAAAATTTTTTATAATGTCTATCTTTTCTTTTACTTTCAATATTACTAATAGTATTATTATTATTTTTAATTTTTTTCATTTCATTTTACTTTGAGATTCATCAACAATGAAATAACATCCTCTCTAAATTTTTTTGTTAGATCTTCTTCTCTGCTAGAAATAATTCGCATATATTTTGTTTTCAGAGGAATATTTCTTATTGATTGTTTTCATTTATATATACCAAAAAAAGGAAGTTAAGCAACATTGAGCATTCCCCTTATCATACGGACATTTCAAAATTTTGTGTACCATTTTTTTATTATCATGATTAAAGTTAACGTTTAATTTTTCTGTTGAAAGTCTTAACTTTTGTTTAAACTGGAAATGTATGAATCTACAATGTCATATTTCATATATTGGATGATGTCTACTGATTTATTTCCCAAAACATGGAACTCCTATATAGCACAAAAACAAATTCATTGATTGATCCCTTTACTGGGGGGTGTTTCACAAAGACTAAGATCAACTTTAAGTTGGACTTAACTATGGCAGGCCATTTATACCACTGTTTGTGTTTGCTCTCACCATTATGATATTTAGGTGATATTTTTTCCTTCAACAATGAATTATCAAACAATGTAAATTGATTATGTAGATTTGTGACCACAATGTATACATCCCTTGAGAGACCAATGCCAGTTGATGGTGAGAGCAAACAGTGGCAATTAAAGTCAATGTTAGTCTTTGTGAAACACCCCCCTGGTATTGTATTTTACTGTTATCTTTTTACTTTGGATTTAGGTTTCTTTCTCCAGTAAAGCATGATCCCTCAGACAGAGAGTACACCCCACCACCAAGGCAGAAGAAGCAGAAGGTTAAGAGAAGGCCAACGCACAAAGCCATTTGCCCCAAGAATCCCAGCAGAAGACTCATATTTTCTTCTCAAGATGGTACAGTCAAACCCGGGGGGTGTTTCACAAAGATCCTAAGTCAAACTTAACTCTAAGTTGTACTTAAAAAATATGGACAGCCATTTGTAGCCTTTAAATAAAACATATTCAAAAGCAAAATTCAAGTATTTTAGACTTTTCACAAACTCCGCATCAAGAACATGAAATCTTCTTGATAATAGAAAATATGAATGATTTGAAATCAACATTTTATGCCTTTTAAAATTACTTTTACAAAATATTTTCAGAGATGCTAACGGCTTTCCATAACTGTTAAGTCCAACTTGGAGATAAGTTTATCTTAGGATCTTTGTGAAACATCCCCCTGCTTTAGCAATCACCTGTCTGCAAAGACCACCTTTCTACAAAGACCGCATTTTTTGTTTCCCTTGAAAATGGTTTCTCATTGAAACATGTGCTAAATGAACCTGTACATAAAGACCACCTGCCTATAGTATAAGATCCACTTTTATTGTCTCTCTTGGGTGGTCTTTATAGACAGGTTGCACTGTAGTTTGCTTGAAACATTTATTATTTGAATTAGTATATAATGGAAATTATTTTTATCAAATCTCCACACATTAAGGATTTAATTAATGCACTAAAACATTTCAAGAATTGTAGGATAACTAATGGTATTAAAAATGATTACTTCTGCTACACACAACAATGCTTTATTTTATTTGAAAGATCTTGTTCTTAAGATGAATAAACAGAAATGAAACATGCAATTGGGGACTATGCCTATGGCTCCCCCCCCCCCACACACACAATCTTAATTATAATATATTTGTATATAGTCAGTCGTAAAGGATACAAATTGATCATAAAATCTATGTATTGATTCTAACTTCACTTTATTTATTTCGTTCCAGATATTATCTTTCTCATAAAAAAAAAATTAAGGTTATTTCTAAAAAGACTGATAAATATTTTTGTTGAATTATATATATTCTGACTTGTTACTTAGCTAAGGTTTATTTTGTCGCTCTGTATTGAATCCAAACAGAAGAAGAGCCTTCTCCACTTAGACATTGCAATAAGAAGAAAAGGAAGATGAAATGCAGGAAGAGCAGAGGGTCCAAGAAACAGAAGTTTACCGGTCGCGACGTCGAGGTTTCAGGAACCTGGGTCCAGTGTACCGACAAGGAGTGCATGAAATGGCGTTTCTTGTTGGACATCACTGACCCGTCTCATGTACCGGACGTCTGGACATGTGAAATGAATTCAGGTATTTTGACCATGATCGACGGCATAATAGCATATACATGTACAAGTCTAAGAAGCTTGGAGGTGTCGTGGACGGGTGGATATGTCACCGGACTGTGGATCACAAGGTCCGCGGTTCAAGTCCCACCACGGTACTAATGTCCTTTGGCAAGACATTGATCTACATTTGCCACTCTCCACCCAGGTGTTAAATGGGTACCCGGTAGGATGCGAAAGCTTATGTGCTTAGATTAGCAAGTGTGTGCTTGTAAAAATGACGCCTGGCTGGAATGCTCCCCAGGGAGTGGAGAATGTGAATACATTGTGTGCGGGTAAGCCTGAATCCGATGACCCGGGTAATATATATCTGTAAAGTGCTTTGAGAGGGCCTTCGTTCCTGAAAAGCGCTATATAAGAACTAGCTATTATTATTATTACTTCTGTGCAGCTATACCTGTGAGAATTCCTACGGTAGGTGCTTTAATAATGATAACAATAATAGTAATGATGATGATGATGTTGATGGTGATGACTGGAATTCTTTGGTACCGCTTCCAGTGGATACAAGGCACTGTCCATTTTTAGCTATCTTTTAGATCAAAGTGTTGAAGGAAGTCAATTGAAGTACTATTTCTTAGAAATGCAGGGAGTTTGTTTCATAGGTGTGGGGCAACGGATTGGAGGGATTTGAAGCCAGCCTGTTTTGGGGATTAGGGAATAAGAAGGGAAGGATTAAAGGAACTAATGTAGATTAAAGTTTGTTGTGCATTACCTTTGAATAATCCAGGATAGATCATTCTCACAGAAATGTAAATCTTTGCAACTCCAAGTTTGTAAAATATGTTTGATTTTTAATTCAGCATCTGTTTCTGAAGTCACTAAATGTCAAAATATAAACTTATCCTGTAGGAACTTACATGAGTTTGGGAAACATGTTGTGAAGCCGGATATAGTATATTTGAATCATCATCAACATCATCATCATTACTATCTAAATCAAGTCATCTGGTGAATGTGACTAAATGAGCCAGTTCGAAAATATTATCTGAGGGCATACCGGTAGGCAGATAAAGGCCATTTGTACAAAACTGTGAAACTCATTGAGATGATTGCTGGGTACGTGTCAATGAGAGTTACGTAATCATTATTCGTCTGTGCACCCGTGGTACATATACATCCTATGATACAGAGGTGGTAGAATTTTTGTCAAGAGGGCACCAAAATGTATTCATGTATTCATATTCTCCCTTCCTCCCCCCTCCACCATCACTCTCTCTCTCTCTCTCTCTCTCTCTCTCGCTTTCTCCCTCTCCTCTCTCTCTCTCTCTCTCTTTCTCTCATTCTCTCATTCTTTTTGTTTGTCCTATTGCTCTTGTCCATTTTCACCATTTTTTTCTTCACCATATATTCTTATCCTTCTCCTTCATAGATACGTCACACAATTCATGCCTTCTACCAGAGCAAGACTACTCTACCCTGGACTTTGTTCACGCCAACTTTACAGAAGGCTCACTTGTATGGGCAAAAATGCAGGGATTCCCATGGTAATTAAGAAAACTAATTATATTCTATTTTCTTTTTATCTTTAAATAAATCAAATAAAGGGAAATTAATCAAAGGGAGAAAAGATACTTGAACATGGTCTATAATCAGGTTATCTTTCTGCAGCAGCGTTTTAATCATGTTTTATTGATTTTTCAATGTGGTTTATATAACAAGATATGAAATCATTGGTTTTATCATTTTGACTAATTAATATATTTTTAGCGGTAACATGAGAACCCTTTCATCAATAAATGTTTGTATTGCAGTTTTATGTTTGTATGGTAATGTTATAATACTTTTACTTAAAGGTAAAGACCAGTTATGGTCATGTGATTGCATTGTGAAAGAAACGTTGTGGAATCGATCAGAAAAGGTTGATCATCTAGCATCTAGCATCTGCAAGGTTCTGGAATCATCAAAATGATAAGAAATTTAGCCCATTCTTCGTAAAGTTACAAGCACTATACACAGAAAGATGTATATGGGACTACCCTATATCTCTCACAGACCATGAGAGAAACAAATTTACCAAATATATGAATTAGTAGGCGGTTTCCCGGCAAATTTTTTATCATCATGTATTAGTCAAAACATATTCTTTCACATGATTGGTAATGAGAGCTTCCATTTCATTTTTTGAAATTGGGGCGTTTCCAATACTGGTCTTTACCTTTAAGCTAGCCTGCTATGATTATAGAAGACTAACTTTGTATTGAATTTTTAAGGTTTAAACAAAAAAGTTTGTAATATTGTAAGACCAAATAACAAACATGAAGTGTTTCTCGTCCCTGCCTCCTTTTGGGCCAATGCCTCCCCTTTTCACTACGGTATTTTCTATTCAGAAGAAAACAAAAAACAAAAAAAAGAGCCCCCCCCCCCCCCAAAAAAAAAGCCTGTGGCATATATTTTGTTTAAATAGCTTCTAAGGTGATATTTGTGGGTCATACATTGCATTAGTATACTCACGTAGCACAATATTTGTTGATAAAAAGGCTTGGCCAGCTATAATTAGCATGACAGCCATCTTGGAAAAAAATTGCAAAATAGTAATGCCCTGCCTCCTCCTTTTTTTAAAAGTCCGGTCGAGAAACACATTATTTTTGTTATTTGGCCTAATTTATAAGGTTTTATTTAAGTTTATATTGTAATTTTCTTTATCAAGGTGGCCCGCTATGATTGAAGAAGATCCCGATTCTGAATTGTGCCTATATCCAGATCCAGTGACAGGATATGTGGTCAGTATAAGCATGTGTACAGTTTGATGCAGGGAAAAAAATACATGGGGGCTCAGGGCAAATTCGCCCCCGAAATGCTAAAAAGAGCCCCCAAAAGTCAGAAAACAGCCCCCAAAATTTGCATAAAGTTTAATGCAAAACAAATTAAAGAGTGTTATTTTCATGCAAGCAAGCTTGAAAAGTAGCCCCCCAATTTTTTTTCTTCATTTTTTTCCCCTGGTTTCTTGAATCACATATTTGGTAAATACTGGATTTATCTTTCTATATTTCACTTCAGGAAAAATTGAAAAAATATCCAATATACAAAACAGAACATACATATCAGTCAGTATTTAAAGCCTTATATTGCAAAAGGAAAATGAAAAGGGATTACATATAGTTGTTGACCTACCCTCGCATCCTGTGTGTGTATGCTAAAAGATAAATCTTTTACAGTACTTTTAAAGGTTATGTATGAGAAGAGATATGCTTACCCATGGCAGTGCATTTACACCTTCAGCTCCATGTAGATGGTGTAAAACAAAGATGATAAGTCTAGCAATGGATTTGAAAATTCATTGTCGAAACCCCTCCACACCTTGTACATGTATTAGTACCAAGGGTGTTGTGCACTGGCATAATTCATAAAAACCTTTAAAACCATGCCTACATGATACTTTCTTCCTCCACTTACGTTCCGTCAGAAAGTTAATTTATATTCTATATCTACCTTAATACAAAATAAATGACAAGTTTGAAACAGGATATTGGTGAACAGATTGGTACGGAGCAGTACTGGCTCTTGGTACGGAGCAGTACTGGCTCTTGACTCTTCTTTATTTTTGTTTACACTTCTTCTTTTTACAAATTCTTCTTTCAATTTGATGGATAATAACACGACGTGTAATATAGACAGTAAACATGAGACACGTTTAAATATGTAGAACCAGGTAGGCTGTATTTAGGCGCCTACGGAAAGCATTACATGCGCACGAAATATATACATCAATTTTGTTAGGTGGAAGCTAATCGTGTGATTTATCTATATTTAATTATTTATTTATTTAGTTTTAAGGATAAACCTAGCGAAAATGGAAAACAAGGCGTCCAGTGCCTAGCTAGTGTTGGACACTAGTTTACGGAGGCCACGAACAACCCCCAATGTATTTGTTATTTTTTGGAGGAAACGTGGTTGCGACCAAGGGAACTGAACGAGGGCGCACTCCCTGTTCCTTGTTTATGAAAAAACCGTGCACCTACAATTATTTTGGATAAGAGTTTTGTAGGTGTCATGTAAACATACGTGTAAAATAGCGAAATTGTTGGCAGTATACTACGAATATACGTGCTAGATAGTCAAATACGAACGATAGTGATTCAAATTCCGAGGCTCTGTGAAGGTATGAGGTCAGACTTGGCGTCGGGTTGTAAATAAGCGTTCCTGGCCTTTGTCGACTTCCATCGTCCGTGCCTCGAAATCAGAAAAAGTGAGACATTGGCGTTTAAGGCTGCAGTTGCCCCTCCTGACCTCATGCTGTGGAGACCGTAAGCTGAGATGTCAGTTACAAACGGCTTGATGGCGTCTAGCACTATTTCACGGGTACGGGTATAACTGAGAGGGTGAACGGTAGGAGTTAAACCTTTGGTAGATGAGCATAGTCTACGAAGGACAGGTAGAAGCGAGCCCGGAGGATCTCGGAGGGCTGCAAGATATCTCTCAGCTACACGAACTGGACATGATTGCTTGAATGATCTAGCGATAACGACATCAGACCCCTGTCTAAATTGGTCTGTTTTTGAGCTCGCGAGATGAATGACGAGACGATCAGATGTGAATGTGAGGTCGTTATTGGAAATATTTTTCAGATCATCAAATCTCAAGAAACCAGCATAAGAAATGAAGCACGCAAACAAAACCCGTAGATCTGCTAGAGAAGCATGGTCATGCCCGTATTTCTCGTAGATCTTCATCAGAATATCCGGGGTGATCGGATGCTTTCTTAGTGTCGGTGAAGATGTGGCGCGTTTGAAACCTTGCAGGGCGAGCTTGATCATTGGGTTATCGGTAGGAGAATGCAGACCTGCTAAGTTGTGGACCCACTTTATAGCTGCTGTCGCAGAGTCGGCAAGCGACTTCATGCCGGTTGTAGCCAAATGTGATATGTACAGAGATAAATGGAAGGATTGCACCGGGAAAACCGACACACCTTTTTTAGACGTGGCCCAATCCTCCCATCTTTCCCAAGAATGAAGGTATTGCTTGGTGGTTGAAGATGCCTTGGCAGTCATCAGGAGTGAAGGAAGATCATAGACTGCCAAGGCTTGTAATGATGGATCCTGGAGTGGCGAGGACAGCTTGCTCCATTCTTCTGCCAAATGGAAGATATAAAAAAGAAACAAAACCGCAAAACCGACAAAAATAGCGTGGTCGCATAAAAGGGCGACAACTTTTGACGATCATGATCATGACACAAATAATGATCGGTGTAAATAAATGCTATGCATTTGCTTCTTTAATATGATATATGTAATAGTTTTAAAAGGGAAGTTATTTTGGGATGGGAGGGTAACAGAGCTCTGACTGCATAACCGAGAATGAGCGTGTAAGCTCGAATCTCGAATAACGAGAATGCATATAACAAAAGATTACATAATGCAGCTGTTCGCGAAGGTATGCGTTCGATAACGAACATAAATTCCACTTTTTTCCTCCACTTACGTTCCGTCAGAAAGTTAATTTATATTCTATATCTACCTTAATACAAAATAAATGACAAGTTTGAAACAGGATATTGGTGAACAGATTGGTACGGAGCAGTACTGGCTCTTGAGAAAACGCCAAAGAAAGTTGGCGAAGACGGGTAAAGAGTGACACTGACGCTTGTACATTCTGTCTGCATTAAATCAATATTGCATACCAAATGATGCATTGAAACGATTTATGCATACCAAATGATGCATTGACAATTTATGCATACCAAATGATGCGTTAAACTATTTTTTTTTTTTTTTTAATTTGTTTATGCCAAATGATGCATTAAATCAATGTTGCATACCAAATGATGCGTTAAAACGATGTTTACATGCCAAATGATGCATTAACAATTTTTGCATGCCAAATGATGCATCCATGAAACAATGAACTAAAACAAAGGTGCATGTCAAATGACGCATTAAACAAAATAGCATACCTAATGATACATTTTAGACACATGTTGAACAGTATCCCATTTCCGTACAACAAAATCCCTGATTATTCTGTCGGGGTGGACGTTTATAGTCGAAACGGAGAGCTAAGGAAAGAAAAGAAGGGTTCTCATTAAAAACGGTTGCGACTCCTAAAGAAGATGGGTGAAAGGAAATGTTAAGAAGCCTCCAATCGTGCACGTGAGGGTCCAAATGAGATCCGTCTGGACAGACAATCGGCCAAAAGTAAGAAGAAGGCCACTTAGGGATGATCAAGGTCGCGGTGGCACCATCTGATGCTAAGCGCTTGATGACCTGTGAGATAAGGCATATGGGTGGACAAATATAATTGTTATCAAAGTGCCAGTCCTGGCAGAAGGCGTCCACACCGGAAGTACCCCTGCACCAAAATCTGGAGTTAAAGGTTAAGACTTTCTTATTTTGAGGCGAGGCGAATCTGTCCACAGTATGAGGTCCCCACAAGGAGTCGATGACTGAAAAGGAAACTTCATCGATTTCCCAATCATCATAGTCTTGGTATTTACTTATTTTATCGGCTATTTTGTTCTCGCTCCTAGGCAACCATTCGGGATATATGACGATATTATGAGTTTGGCACAAATCGAAAATTGCAAGAGCAATGTCATGAAGGTCTGGCTTGACACTCCCGTTCTTGATAATGCGTGGGACATTTGCATTGTCTGTCATCCACTTGAGCTTTTGATTTTGGAAAAGAGAATGGCCTTCAGAAATTATTCGAAGTACGGCGGCCAGTTCGCGCCAAGTAGAACTTTTGAGCGACTCTGCGCGAGTCCACTTTCCGTGGAAACGCGTGTGAGTGTTGTCCTGTACGTAGCCTCCGTAACCGGTATCGCTAGCGTCTGAAAAAACTAGCGCAGATGGGGCTAAACAAAATTTAAAAGGAAAACCATTAAACTCTGTAATATTCTTCGTCCAAAAATGCAGTTCTTTGATTACGGGATCGGGTAGCATTATGGAATCTGACCAAAGCGCACGTGATTCGATTGCGCGATACGAGGCGCGTGTCTTGAGCCTACATATAGGACCGAGTGCGAGAGACATTGAGATGATTTGTCCCGCGAATGAAGCCAAATTCTTTATAGGTACTGGTCGTGCTGACTGTGTCAAAGAAACAATCGCTTCGATGCTGAGCAGCAATTTGTTGATCTTAGATTGTGGTACAAAAAATCGCTCTGTTATTGAATCTAGAACGAGACCTAGATATTGGATTTGATTGGTGGGTTCCCATTTGCATTTTGTCTTGCTGGGGACAAACCCGCTGCGGGTAAGGGTGTCGCGCACTAAGGTCATGCTCGATAGAGCCGAACTGAGGCTGGGGGAAATGACGAGACCGTCGTCGATATAAACGAAGGAAATAATGCCGCGGGCGCGCCAGTAATAGACTAATGGTCTAGTTAGCTTGGTAAACAAGTAACATGCGCTGTTGAGGCCAAAAGGTAGAACCGTGAATATGTAATATCTAACGATTGAATCATTATGAACCCAGGAGAAGCCTAAGTATTGCTGGTGTGGGGGGAAGATATCGACGTGATGATATCCGGATTCTAGATCGAAAGAGAAATAAAATTGGTTTGGACCGAGTACTTGTGAAATGTGGGGTAAATCTTCATACTTGAATTTAAACTTCTTAACATATTTATTTGGGTGGCGTAGGTCCAGAACCAATCGTAACTTTTTGCCTTCAGCGACTGTTAATGGATTGCAGCATGTGGGACGTGATTTTACTTCGACGACGCACTGTCTTTTCAACAAATCGGCAATGGCCGTCTCAACAAACTCAGAATGATTCAAAC